TGGAATTGCAGCCCAAGCCTGCGTACTCTGTGTCAAGCGCTACCAGGGGTGTGACTCAACAAGGGCCTGATCCATCTCATGAGTAGCGGAAACAAACCAAAACTTGTTACAATGGCAGTTGTACAGTTACTCATCTAATCCAGCCTCTTCAGTAAAGCATCATAGCCCCAAAATCCACAACTCTTAGAAGGAAACACCTTGGGAGAAAAGGTGTCCTTTGTGTGAATCTCCAACCCATCTAACCCATGGACTTGTCATTCAGCATGTTTTTGCTGCATGAGAAAACAGCCACAGTTTGCTGTCAATGGCCAGCAGCAATTTTTGCATTTTGCTTTTCTGGGTAGAACAAATTAATGATTACTGGTTGTTGGTGTTTTCTCATAAACAGCAGAATGTTAAGAAACACTTGAGTGCTGCAGTATTGCTGTCTAATGCACACTTAATTTTCAGAAGTATTTTTAGATTCTCTGTGTGGAGGTCAGAGTAGGTGGTTAGTGGCTTAAGCAACTTTCTTTAAAATTCCCAGTATGAACCACGGGGGGAAAAACCAGCTTAGAAATCAAATGCTTCAGCTACAAAAATACAGCTTGTCTTTTTGTTTTGTGTTTTTTTTTTCATTTCTCTTTTTTATTTTTAGAAATGTTAAAATTTGTTAGCCAGCATGTTAAGAATGTTTTTTGTCCATTTTTCAGTCCCTTGTTGACAAGAGTACCTGTTTCTGGTAGAGCTGATATCCCTCAGGGAATCTCCCCTACTGCCAACTAAACTCATGGTTTTCATCTTGAAGCCTGGAATTTTGCATTTGCCAGGGCTGTTTTCATGGTCCCAAATGATGACAAATTCCCCCAAACCAGACAGATTTCCAGAGTTTGAAGTGAAAAAGAAAGATGTCTTTATATGCTTACAACAATTATTTATTTTTGGAAGGTGGTTAGTATTTTTGAGGTGATAACATAAGTGATCCTAATCTTTTAATATTGCCACTTCCAAATATTGCTAAGGTCATCTATTAAAACAAAAAAGCCTTTGATGGTAAATAGTCCATTTTAACAGGCTTACTTGGAATTGTTTGTGCCTTGCCTATACACATTCCACACACATTTAACTGCAGTGCTGGAAAAACTGCTACCTAAAAAGGTGGAGATGTGTTATGCCAGCAAATTGTGCTGACAAACAGGTGCCTTGTCTAGATAGTTTTGGGGTTTAGTTCTAATGATGGCATTTGGGCCTTTTTAGAGATAATTGTGTTTCTGCTGCCTTAACTAAGCCATAACTTCAGAGATAGGCCACTCTTAAATCCCTTTGTGTGTTTTCCAGTTTGAAGCTCAAGGTGAAGCTTGGCTTTTGCAGTGCACCTGTCCCATGGTGAGACAGACCAGCTTTCTCCCTTTGGTTTGGGAAAGGGAATATGTGAAGAGGAAAGAGCCCCATGCACCTTCTTTACATCCTGTTACATCTGAGACCAGGGATTTTTCAGATCCAAACAAGGAACGGGGTGGCCTCTTCCATGAATGGACCAAGATGGAATGTTTTCATTTCCAATGGGCTTTAAGCCAAGTAAATATTAGTTGATCCAAACTAGTTTTGAAATTAAATTATTCTTATTTGTTGGAGCATTCCAGAGAATGGCTTTGATCTGTCTGTACTTTCACCAAAGGGATATTGGCAGGCTGGCCTCCCATTTCTAGCCATTTGGGATGAAAGAAGGGTTATAATAACCACCTTGTGTGGCAGTGATACTGAACAGATGACATTTTTTGGACAATATTAAGTGAATAAAGGTAAACATACTTCAATTAAAATGTTTTTGGAGGCTGAATGCAATAGGGCTGTTGGAAAGTCTTCTATGTGGGTTGCAGGAATTTAGCTGCATTTGTAACTGATTTTCTTTAACTCCAAAAATCTTGGAAAGAGAGGGTTTTGTTCTGTGCGTTATTTCCTTTCCAAATAAATACATTGTTTGAATAACTTAAAAATCAAATTAAAACTGGCAGTGAACAATGAAATTGTCAGTAACTGGGAGGTGTGTTGAAGAAGGGAAGGTGTTTTGCTTCTGAGATCACATCAGCACAGTGACCTGTACCAGGCACAGTGACTGAGTTAGCTCAGGTGACACCTGTAAGTAAACTGGAGTGCACAGCAATTAAGTGGCACATTACCAGTCTTAGCAAAGATATTTGGAGATAATTTTAAAATTAAAGATCCAATAAATAAGATGCTCAGTGTTCCACAGTGTTTGCTGAAGGATCCTCCAGAAGAGGTGGGAGGAGGGTGGTGGAGACCCTCCCACCATGAAGTGCTGCTTAGACACAGCTGAAGAACCTTTTAAATGGTTCTTGATACCGGCTGATGATAATCTGTACTCTCCCTAGACTGAAACAATAAATGAACTGAATGAAAATCTAAGGAACAAGTTGGCTGGAAAGATGTGCTGGAGGTCGCTGGTCTGACCACCTTATACCTTCAAAATTAGGTCAGGTATCTAAATAAGTTCAGCTATATGTTTAAGTTCCAGCTTAGATTTCAGGTTATGAGGAACCTCTGGTGTTGAGGTTTCTTACATGTATTTACTATTTTTTCTGTAAATAACTAAATAAATACTGATGCAAATTAAATTGCTTTTCCTAGAATTGTGAGTAGTTTGAATGGAAGGACAGGTGTCTTCTCACAAAAACGTCAATTTGCTTTGATTTCACAAAAATTAGACTTGCTGTACTTGATTTCGGAGTTAAATAAAAGAAAAATCTCTTAACAGATTAAACACTCAGTGTTGTTGGTGAGTGTTCTGAAGTGCCACCTGCATTTTAAATCTGTTTAAGTACTTTGTATGTTCATGCCTTAAGGGAGAAACGGTTTGAACAAAGACAGATATAAAAAACAAAGCACAAAGGGTTTGTAGGTTAAAACTCAAGCTTTTGTTATTTTTGAACATCAGCTCAAATCTGGATCCATTTGCTTGAAATGGAATATTTAGTTTTCAACTCAGCATGTGAACTGGTCATGCTTGAATTTAAAGTTTGATTTATTTCTTTTTGCACCTGTTTTTATTTAAACACTGACTCTATACAAGATAGACTTTTGCTACACGGTTCCTTCCTCCCCAGCTGGAAGTCTGGTCTGATATTATTGCGTGAGACCTTCGTAAAATTTACATTTGTAACTCTGCATTCTCTGAAAATGCAAAACACACTCACTGCTCCATTAGGTTGTGTGGATTTTTTTTGAATTTATGGTTTTCTTTCCTGTGTTACAGCACTGACCCACATATTTGACTTCAAGACCAATGGCTGGCCATGTACTTGCCCTGCAAAATCTTGTTGGTATAAAACAAGGTGCAGTCCTGCCCCTGGCAAGAGGTGCCAGATGGGCTGGATCAGGGGAGAACTGGACATAAAGTTGGAGGAGGAAACGTAAAAGGAGAAGAGGGAGATGTGAGGAGGCAGAGCGTGGGAAGCGATGCTAACGCGGGACGGATGTACGGGAGGGCCTGGAAGTCTGGGAATTTTCTACAATAGTTGTACTTGACAAAGAGAAGGGATGAACTCAGTGATCTTCAGGGGGAGGTTTTAAAGGAAATGACATGTGTATTCTCTTGAATATGCAAATCAGAATTACATAATCTGCAATAGCAATAATAATAACAAAATGTTTTCCAGATTTGCAGCTGTAACCGTATGCTCAGTGGGGTGGTGGCAGAGAGCTGCAGCCACAGCTGCCGTGTAAAACTGGGGCATCCACCTGGTTCTGATCTTGATAGAAAAGGGACAGAAGGTCACATCACAGACTGTTGTTCTCTGTGTCTTGTAGTTTATATAAATTTTTCAGGCTAATAAACGAAGTATGGGGAGACCCCAGAGGCATTTAAAAGCTGTGTAGATGTGGCACTTGGGGACATGGTTTAGTGATGGCTTGACAGTGCTGGGATAACAGATGGACCTGATGGTCTTGGAGGTCTTTTCCTGCCTAAATGAGTCTTAGGATTTTTTCAGATGAAAATGGGTCATTTAGTTCTGCAGTAACTATAAGCCATCTTCTTTCCCTGCTTTCCCTTCCCCATGGGATACCGAAATTGGTTCATATTGCCCCCATTCTTTCCTGTGCAGATGTGGGAATTTCAGGTGTATTTACTGTACCCTTTGCTGGGTTAACTGTGATAACTGTGTGTACCTTTTATAAATACAATTTTTCCCGAGAGCAAAGATGAGCTAAATACTAAAATATTCTGAGGTACCGAAGTAAACCCTCCATAATACTAAGCAGGAGAGTTTAACCAACATCATGAGAGGTTTTTTTCCCCTCGAGGCTTGAAGAACTGCAGTATTTGCTAACACACAGAGCTTTTCACCAAGGCATGAGCTTATGGATGAGAGAGAAGAGCTATGTGTACCACCACAGTTACTGTTTCTTTGTAAGGGAAGTGGAAAAAAAATCTCAGTGGATATGAAACTTAGGTATCTTTGTGCATTTGTGAGTTGTGGATGAGAGGTGTGTTCAGTGATCAGGTTGGATCTATGGTTGCAGTGCTAGCTTGGACAGGGGAAATGTGAGCATTCAAGCAAGAATTAGGGTGTTTTTTTCAAATTTCTGAATGTAGAGACAATGTTAGGCCACTATCTCATTTCTGGAGTTTTACCTATCTATATATGATGGGATATGTCCCTCTCCCTCTCCCTCTCTCTTTCTCTCTCTATATATATGTGTGTGTGAGTACAAAAACCTTTGTGTGGGATGTACAAGTCTTTGTCAGATTTGGTGTGATTTCACTATATTGTTATTTTGAATATACTCTGGAGATTTCCACATGTCTCTTCCTAGAGAAACGTTCAGCATATTTCCTAAATGTTGGCTGGCTTTGTTACTACGGTTGACTTGCATATCTGAATCCTTTGAAAAGAGTGAATGAATGTAGAGTGTGACTCTTGTAGGAAGAGTAGTTTTATTTTAGATGATGCAGTTCTTGGTCATGTAAATGTAACCTTGTTTCTTGTTTTTTTTCCTAGGGTGACTCTGTTATTACAGTACAGCTGACCGAGGAAGATAAAGTTGAAGATGATGTAGTTTTTTACTTGGTCTTCACTGGATCAACTGTCCAACACTGCACAAGCACGAGAAAGATTAATCCTGGGAGTCTGGAGACAATTTCTCCTGGTAAACAATTGCCTTTCTTTGCATATCAGTGTATCAGTCTGTGAAATTTGGTTACTACAAGTGGACTGGAATGTAATGCTGTTTTCTTTGTTGTCTTTTTCCTCATTTACACGCTCACAAGGAGTGGAACATGTGGTTTGGATGACTGCTTTTGCCTTTTAAAGACCTCTTTCTTGATTTTTTATTTTTGAGATTACTGTTATTTAATATGTAACTATGAGATGCTGTTGTAGAAAACTCATAGTCACACATACACATAGTAAAAAGCTTTTAAATGCAGGAAAGATGGTGGAAGATACATTTGTAAGGTTACAGAAGCTATTGTCCAAATGATGGACAGCCCCCTAAGTGTTAGCTACACTTACCATCTGCTAGACTGGATGAGGTTCACTGTGTCTTCCTGGTGAAATGCAGCCCTTTCTCCTAAATCCTGTTCAGCTCAGAGCCCACACAGCATTTCTGGAGCTGCTGCAGTACAGGTGATTGCTGCTTGGTGCCATCTTTCCGTGGCTGGTTCGGATGAGGTGGGTTTCCACATGAAAGCCCACCACTGTTTTTATCCTTTGTGCCACCAACAAAACAAAACCAACCGGCATTTCCCTTTGGTGACTTCAGGACCGTGGGAATGAGCGTGTTCCAGGCTGCAGTCCTCACCATTAACCTTTCATTCTGACTTGTTGCTATGCAGCACATTGCTACCAGTGTGAGAAAAACGCCTGACATTTTCACTACACACAGTGTAGCACAGGCCATCAAGTGTTTTTCTTGGGTTTGTCTTTTTGCCTACCTCCTAAGTATTGTTGTGTGAGAGATGCACATGGAGTAAAATTTGGAGTTTTTTCTCTTGGGAATGAGTGGCTAAAAGTTGGCCACTCTGTTTTTTTCATTTCCTCCTCTTCTTGTGCTGTTCATGTTGTTCAGTTGGCTTGGGAAGAGAAGTCTTTTTATGTCTACTGATGACTGGAGCCCCGTGCAGTCAATTAGATTAATGCTTATTTTCTCCCAGAAGAGCAAGAGGGGGTGACTCCTTCCCTGCTTTTGTGTGGTGGGCGTGGGGCTCTGCCAGCCCTGCTCCAAATGACTTCACCTCTCCCTCGAGGCCGTGGCTGCTGCGCCAAGAAAGGAACTGAAAAGCTTCAGTGTTCCCTTCAGCCCATGTGGGAAGCAGTGCTGGATGGGATTTCCGGGCACTGGGAACGATGCTTTCCCATCACTGCTGTCCTTGCAGCACCGCTGCTGCCAGGTGGTACCAGAGTGATGCTCTGGGCACTGCCTGTCCTGCCAGCCCCAGACAGAACTGAGTCACTGGGGAGAGCTCCCTGCAGCTCGTTTTTTTGCTGTTAGTGGGAAATCTGACACCATTCGTGATTCAAAAGGAAAAGAGGGAATTTCTCTCAATTGTTCCTTTAGCAATAATGGATTTTTATTATTTTTTTTTACCATGATCTTGTGTCATGTGAAGCTAGACTGGGATGGGTGCTGTCCCAAAATACAGCTTGTTTCAGACAGTTTTAAGGGACCTTTCAGAAAGATAGTATATCATTCCTGCACTATCCAGGGCTGTAAGGAAGAGGTGACATCTGAGATGTAAAGTAGCCATGTGGATAACACCCTTATCTGTGCAGATACCACATTTTGGTGAGACTAACTAAGAAAAGAATACTTCAGTGGTGAGAAGTTTGTTGGGTAAAGAAAAAACAAGAAATAGGAAAAGCCTAATTTTTTTCATACCCTCTGCTGACACCCTTGCATTTGTCCAGTGTTGTTTCAGCACTGACTACACTGATTTCAGTGGAAGTGTGACTTAGTGCAGCTCTTCTTCCTCCTCCTCCTCCTTCCTGGACGCACAGTGAATCTGTAATCATGTGTTTACTCTGTATATTCTGCAGTTGCCTTGGCGATGGCTGTGGTTACTCAGAGTGTTATTTGACCTCGAAGGGATTAGCCATGAACAACAGGCAGTGTGTGAGAGACCAGCCCTTGTTTAAACATCCAGCCCCGGGCACTTAGCAAGTGCTCTGCAAGAAAACTCCTGCAAACAGCTTTTAGCCAAAATCTCACCCTTTACTTCCAGCTCTGAGCATCTGTTATTTGTTCCTGTGATGCAAGGACTGTTGCACATCCCTGCCAGCACAGCAGCTCCTCGGGGACAGCCCAAGGGGATTACAGAAGGGCTGATTCCCTCAGGAGACTCTGCCTTCCTTCATCCTCCTCTGCATCCCTTCTGGACTCAAAGGCTCTTCCCTCATTCTTGCTCCAAGTCCTCAAAATTTCATGTGGTCCCCAGAAGACTTCTGATGAAGTCCACTAGCCACTGGGATGACAGGGGTGACTGTAATTCTATTAAAGTTGAAGTAAAAGCAAGCCTAGATTTGTAATTTATGTTTCTTGACTTTTTCAGTAGGTTTTTTGATGTATGGAGGTGTAAAAGACAAATTATTTCATTACATTTGCTGCCAAAATTAATCAGAATGTTTTAGCAAAGCCTTCAAATAAAAGCATATTTAAAAAGAAATCTTAACAACATAAAATTGTTTAGGTGAAATATTATAGAAAATGGAAATACAAGCTGTCAAAATACATCATAAATTCTCATTGTATGTGAAAATTCTCTGTATCCTGAGAGATTTTATTTAAATAAAAGCTTATTGCTGCAGATTTAAATGACTGCTGAATCTTACAGAATTTCTAGAGCAATGTGCCTCTTTCCTATGCTTTTTTAATCATCAGCCTTAAACACTGAATATATATAGTCCATCCTATTGTTCAAATGTGAGCTTTTATTTCTCTACATAACAAAAGAAAGGACTTCTGATTGTAAATTTATGGGAGCAGCTTTATTTTACCTGAAAACGTGGATAAAAAGAGATTCATCACTTCTTTGAACTTCAGAATACTTGTATTTATGCACTATCTCTGAAGAATGGGATGGATTATTTAGCCTGCTGTTGGCTGTGTTAATTTCCCTTTGTAAGAAACAGATTCTCATCTGAGCTAATCAGTCATAACTGGAAGTGTCAAAATTAGCTGCTGAGATTCAAGAATTAGCCAGGGAATGATGTTTTGTGTGCTTTCAGTAGCTCTTCTGCCAGCTTAAGGACACACCAGGTTACATCACACATCATCAAAGCTTTTTTTTTGTCTCAGTGAAAAGCTACCAAAATCTTATTTAACTGTTGGCTTTACTGTCACGGTTACAGTTCTTCTAATTAATCTGGTTGAAATTCTCCCTAATGGAAGCAATATCAGAGGCATTGTGTAGTTCTTGAGCACAGTTTCAAGCACTGTTTTATCAGACACAGCGTTAAGGTGGCAGGTGGAGGTGTAAGGGTACTGGCAGTGCTCCAGTAGGGATCTCTGTGCAAAAGCTTGCCCACTGGAGTTTGGGTGATAAGAAAGCATCAAAAGTCTGAGCAGGGAAGGAAGCAGAGAAATGATACCATCTGTGCTGTGGTTAAACTGTTGTTTGCTGAATTTGTGCTGTTGGGGATGGATGTGTCCTCGTAGGTCGCAGATGCTGGTCCTACTGATGTTGGTCATTAGCTGAGCTTTTCAGCAAGTCCTTATTCCTACAGCAGCTGAGACTGCTGTAATCTTAATGCATTTTTTTCTTCCCACCATCTCTGCAAAGTAGGGAGGGTAGCTGAGGCCAAGCAGATTGCACATGGTAGTGAAGGAAATCTGTGTAAAGCAGGGAACTGAAACATTCATTGCAAGACAGCAGCCTTATCTCCTGCCTCTCTGCTAGAGCACCTTTTTCCCCAGTGGGGAAAAACCCAACCCAATAATAAAAATTCTCAAATCATGTTCTGACAAACAAACCAGCAGAAGAAGGAATGACCTCATCACTGTCCACACAAGTCAAAAGTCCCAACCACAGCTTGCTGTGGCCAGTGGAGGCCACTGAGTATCAGGAAGCTCTTGCGGAGATCTGGGGAAATTTTCTAGCAGGAGCTGATGTGCTGGGAGCTCCAGTGTTTGTGTGATGCATTTATTGCAAAAGTTTGCATGCCATCACCATAGCAGCTGTATTTTGCTTTGCATTTGATGACTGGTGTTCTGGAAAGTGTGGGAGACATGGGGGAAATTTGAAATGAAATTTCAAACGGGGAGAAACAATCCAGAAATCCAGAACTGCAGCAGCTCCTGATCAAATAAGTAAAGGGTAAGAAACACCTTGTCTGTGAGCCAGGTCACCAAAACAAGCAGTAAATTTTGTGAGATGTAATTGCCTTGGTGAGTACTGTTGCAATGTGTTGTATCACTCTGAGCTCTGTAATACCAAAATCACTTGTCTCATGTTTGTTGAACTCAAAAGGTGCAGGATTCTTGTGTGAGTTTCAAAGGAGAGGAGACTCAAAACTGGAAGTAGAAAAAGGGTCTGAGAGACTGTCTGTCTGCTGGTAGCTGCCTGCCAACAGTTTCCACAGGGCTGACACATTCTCATTGACTCACTCTGAGCCTTCTCTCCATCCTTAAGCTAAGGCAGAGAAATTTCGGTCTTTAACTTGTTCTTAATTCCATAGCTCTCAGAGTTCTTCTTTTTTGTGTTTTTTTCCTCCTTACTTTCTTTCTGCTAGTTAAAAGAATAAAAAAAATTAATTTCAGTTAGCTTGGAAATATCTTCATTTCAAACTTTTCTTTTACTGCGAAATCCTTTACATATGGTCATGCTTTATTCACTTCTACCACAGACTGTGTTTTCCCCTAAGAAACAACTCTTCATAGAAAAAGCTGTATTTCATGAATTACAATCTTTGTACTGGTAGACCAGAAGGGTAAACAAGTTGCATAACAAATGGCCACTTGGCAATACCAGTCATGGATTTGAAAATACTCTTAACTGTGAAACAAAAGCCCCCTTAAAATAGACTAAAACAGCACAGCCAAGAAGACTTTTTGTAATTCATCCTCTTCGGTGTATTTAATTGCTTGAGGCAGTGTAATTAAAAGGAAGTTATGCCCATACTAGATGACATCAGTCACAGGAAAAAGTGATT